AAGTGGTAGAGTGCTAGCCTTGAGCTGAAGAGCTGAGGGACAGCGCCCAGGCCCAGAGTTCAGGCCCCACGACCGGACCCCCCCCCCAAAAAAAGTTTAGAATTCTTGGAAACAAGATCTTAGATTATTGGGCCGGGCACCAGTAGCTCACACCTGTAATCCTAGCTACTCTGAGGATCTCAGTTCAAAGCCAGCTCGGGCAGGAAAAGTCTGTGATACTCATCTTCAGTTAACCACCAGAAAACGGGAAGTGGCACTGTGGCTCAAGTGGTAGAGTGCTTGCCTTGAGCTGAAGAGCTGAGGGACAGCACCTAGGCCCAGAGTTCAAGCCCCACCACTGACAAAAAAAAAATCTCAGATTCCATCTTCCTGAGCCCACCCTGTGTCATGATTAGTGTGGTTTCATTTATACTTAAGAATAGTGATGTGTTTAGTGTTTATAGGACAGGATAATAATTGTAACAAATCTTACTCTGTGTGAAGCCCTAAAGATTTTTTTTGAAATATTAACGAACTTATTCTTCACAACATTCAGTATGGGTAAGCTACAATTATTCCCATTGTGTAAATGAGGAAACTGAAACACAGAGAACTTAAGAAAGATTCCTTTATTGGATTAATAATGGATGTTACATCAAGCAAGAATAAATAGCCCTTCTGAGATAAATGATAAACACCAAGACAATATCAAGGAAAGAAATTTGATCAGAATCCCACAAACTAATTCTGACCAATCTATAATAAAACATACATTGACATTTGACCTATTCCTCCCTCCCATCTTTGTTGACTTTGGTTCTTCATGGAGGAAAAAGGCAGGCTGAGAAATAGGCCTCAAGGCCCCTGAAAGCAATGCTGCCAGCTCCAAACACCGGTTAGATCCGGTTCCCAAAAAGTTTTGAACTTTGGAAATGTATCCTGATATTGTTCCTAAATCACTGCTTTGTTAGGTCTTATAAAATTAGATTGTCACTCTTAAAGTGTACTTAAATCTCCTTGCACTTGAGATTCCAGAGCCAATATTTCCTTTTATTCTGATGCTTCCTAAAAACTACTGACATGACCAAGAATCATACATTGGTATGATACCTCCATCTCACTGTGTTTAGGCTTCAGACCCTTGGCCAGACCCACTGTGTTGGTTGCAGAATCCCTATCGAAGAACTAGATTCACCAAAGTCTCAGTAGATCATTTATCAACAAAAGACCACCACTGAAATCTATAAGATAATAAAAATCATGGACTTATCACTCAGCCAAATACTGCAAGTTGCAAACAAGCTTTAAAAGGTCAGATAATGTGATGTCAGGAAAATGAACCCTTAGATATGTATTTTAATGTTTTTTTCTTTCATGCATGTGTTTCTAACGCATTTATAAGATTATCTCTTTGTTGCTTTGTATGTCCCTCCCCCACAGTATAACCCCTGCTTTCACTATATTTGATGTCAGTATAACTTGTGGAGGAGATGGGGAAAAACCAGTTGTTTAAGGATACAGGTGGACCTGTTGCAACAATGAGAAGTACAAGTTGTCATGTCCAAAAGGAGCTTTACAACGTCGGTGTGGGGGGGGGGGGGGGAAGGGGGGGAGGGAGAAGGATTGGGATTGGGGGGGAGGGGGGAGGCTGGGAAGGGATGTGAAGGGTAAACAAAGGAGGAGGCTGCAATGCTTGGTAAGAAATGTACGCATTTTCCTGCCCATGTAATTGTAACCCCTCTGTACAGTATGTTCACAAATAAAATTAAATTAAATTAAAAAAAATATTAAGAAAGTAAAGCTGGGTGCCTGTGGTTCATGTTTGTACTCCTACCTTCTAAGGAGGGTGAGATATGACTATCTTGGCTTAAAGCCAGCTAGGGCAGTTAAAGCCATAAAACTCAAGTGGTAGAATGCCAGCCTACAGTGAAAAGAGCTAAGGGAATAATGCTCAGGTACCATTTAAAAAAAAAGGCTGGGGCTGGGAAGGTGGCTCAGTGGTAGAGTCTTGCCTTGCATGCATGAGGCCCTGGGTTCCATTCCTCAGCACCACATAAGCAGAAAAACTCAGAAGTGGCACTGTGTCTCAAGTGGTAGAGTGCTAGCTTTGAGCAGAAGAGCTGAGGGACAGGGCTCAGGCTCAGAGTTCAGGCTCCATAACTGACAAAAAAAAAGACAAAAATAATATTTTTTTAAAAGGCTAAGCTTCAGTGGCTCACACCAGTAATCCTAGTTATTCAGGAGGCTGAGAACTGAGGGTCACGGTTCAAAACCAGCTGGTTCAAAGGCAGCTGGGGCAGGGATGTCTGTGAAACATTTCCAGTTAACCCCAGAAAACCAGAAGTGGAGCTGTGGCTCAAAGTAGTCTAGTATAAGCCTTGAGCAAAAAACGTCAGGGACAGTGCCCTGAGTTCAAGTCCCATGATGGACCAAAAAGTTTAAAAAAAAAAAAAGTCCATGTCTATAGAGCCATACACTTCAGAGTCAAGCTGTTTAGGACTTTACACCCAAACAGAAGTTCTAGTTAAGCCAATGTACTGATGGGGGGGGGGGGCTGGGGTGTCTACTTCCTCCAGGTTAGGAACCCTGAATTGAATTAAAGTGACCTCTCAAAGCAAAGCCTTCATCATGCATGTCATGTTACTTAAGCCACAAGCTTAGGGATCAACCCCCAATGCTCTTCCCACCCCCTTCTCACGTCACTAGGATCCCTTGCCCAGGTGCCTTTATGAGTCATTCCAACCTTCAGTAATAATCCCCAGTGGGCGGGGTCGCGTCGCAGTGTCTCACATGTTGCCATCTAGACTACACTCCCTGGCTGTTACTTATTTCTCTTCAGTCTGAAGTTGCCTTGGTGGCTAACCCATCGGGCATGCTCAAAGCTCTGGTGAGTCTGCTGGACAAGCCAGTTCTTGGCTCTGAAGAAGCTCTGGCTTCTTTAGTAGCCTGGTCCCTTTAAATCGGACCGGGCCAGTTGCTAGGCAACTGTGCGGCCCCCCAACTGGCGCTGCACTGCGGAGACTCGCCCGGGGCCGGCTGGCCAAGTCAAGGTGGCCAGCAACAAACAGGGGGGCTGCAGCCTGCCCATGGTAGCCGGCTCCGGGGAAAAGAGTGGAAAGGGCTCTCCAGATCACGCTTCCAGTTCCAGGTAGGTCTATGGAAGGGGATGCCTGGGCTCCCAGTGGGTTTCACCCCTCTTTCACCCCTGGCTCCCTTTACAAGAGGACCGGGAATCCAGGAAGTCTTCATTGCAGGGGTTTATTTCTCTTTGGAGCTGAGGAGCTTTGGGGGAAGAAAAAGAGAACAGGGTTTAAGAGTGAGTTTAGGGATGGAGAGGTGGGGATCCAGGGTGTTGAGTGGCCCACCAGTGACAGGGCTGGGTTGGAGAAGGTAAAAAGTGTCAGCCAGCAGTAGGGGTTCAAGTAGCACCTCATCCAAATCAAGCCACCCTCTTTCCACTGGAAGCTCCTATGGCCAGAGTTGCAGTTAACCATTCACTCAGAACCCCCACCCGAACTATGCATACAAAGATTCTGCTTTAGAACAAGAGTGTGACTTCCATACTAATGAAGTCTCAGCCTTCTGAGTTAAGGTGACTGGGGATGTTTTCTTCTACCAAGGAATAACTTCACACTCATATCAAAGAAAGGGGGGGAGGGAAGAACCAATCACACAGCTCAGTTCTTAGGGATCCTTTGCTTTCTTCTCACCTGCTTAAAAACAGACAACCCAATTTGTCCCAGGGAAGCAGCAGGACACTTGGTCCATACTTTAGCTCCCTAAAAGAATAAAATCAAAAGTTGGGATCACTGTGATTTTTTTCCCCCCTGGTGGCTCTTGAGAAATACTAGGCTACCACTACCTCCACCACTGGTAGCTCAATTTGTTCAAGAAAGGCTAAAGTTGAGGAAATACTTTGTGCATTTTTTTGTTTGTTTGTTTGCCAGTCATGGGCCTGAACTCTGGGCCTGGGCACTGTCCCTCAGCTCTTCAGCTCAAGGCTAGCACTCTACTCCTTGAGCCACAGCATGAGTTCCAGCTTTTTCTGCTTATGTGGCGCTGAGAAATCCAACCCAGAACCTCATGCATGCAAGGCAAGCGCTCTACCACTGAGCCACCTTCCCAGCGACTTTGTGCATTATTATTATTATTTTTTGTCAGTCGTGGGGCTTGAACTCTGGGCCTGGGCGCTGTCCCTCAGCTCTTCAGCTCAAGGCTAGCGCTCTACCACTTGAGCTACAGCGCCACTTCCGGTTTTCTGGTGGTTTATTGGAGATAGGAGTCTCACGGTCTCCCCTGCCTAGGCTGGCTTTGAACCATGATCCTCAGATCTCAGCCTCCTGAGTAGCTAGGATTACAGGTGAGAGCCACCAGCGCCCGGCTGACTTTGTGCACTATTATCTCACCATGATTCTTATCCCATTTGATGTATGTATTACTTGGTAATGGAAGGTAAGTGGCACACTAGTTGGAAAAATGAATTGGCAACTTAAAAGGGGGAATTACTTCTCTGAGTATCTCAGTCACCAAGTACAGATGGACCAAATCACATTCTAAGCATATCACTTCCAAGTTTTATTTAACTGTTTTGGTGCTGGTATGGGGGGAGGGCGCTTAGGGGCTTAAACTCAGGGCCTAAGTGCCCTCCCTTAAGCTTTTCTATGGTTGTTCAATTCTGGCACACAATCGCTTGAGCCACAGATTCGTTTCCACCTTTTTCTTGGTTAACTGCAGATAAGCTCTCAAGCACTTTCCTGTCCAGGCTCTCTTTGAACCACAGTCCTCAAAACTCAACCTCCTGAGAAGCTAGGTTAATTATAAGCATGAGATTCTGATGCCTGGCTCACTTGTTACTTTAGTGTGCACCTCAGATAAAATGATTTTCTTCAAAGTTAAAAAAAACATGAACCAAGTGCTGGTGGCTCTGCCTGTAATCGTAGCTACTCAGGAGGCTGAGAACTCAGGATTATAGTTCAAAGCCAGCATAGGAAGGAAAGACCATGAGACGCTTATCTCCAATTAACCACCAGAAAACTGGAAGTGGCACTGTGGCTCAAAGAGGTAGGATACTATCCTTGAGTGGAAAAGCTCAGAGAGTGCCCAGGCCCTGAGTTCAAGCCCCACAATTGACAAAAAAAATCATTATTAATATACAGGTGATATTCTGATGGGTTACAGTTACATAAGTCAGGTAAAAATATAGATTTTAACATCCTGGTTGATTTTATTTCCTGTATACTAATATGAATTAATTTTGTTTTCCCAGTTCAAGCCAGAGGAAAATTTTATCCACAAAACTGTTGACCTTAGAAAGGGTAAGTACAATTTTGTTGACTGTAAATTCATGGGTCTTAGAAACAAGGGGCCTTTACCCAACAGAAACTATCAACTTTGTAAGCACATTGGCCATCTATATGTACTATACACTTTTAGGAAGACCTTATCAAGATTCCAAAGAAGGGCTGGGAATGTGGCTTAATGGTAGAGTACTTGCCTAGTGTGCATGAAATCCTGGGTTCCATTTGTCAGTACCATGTAAACACATGTAAACAGAAAAAGCCAAAAGTAGCACTGTGGCTCAAGTGGTAGATTGCTAGCTTTAAGCAAAAGAAACTCAGGGATTGTGCCCAGGCCCTGAGTTCAAGCCCCCAGGATTGGCCCCCCAAAAAATATATATATCCAAAGAAAAGTATCTCAAGACTTCAGGTAAGCCAAATAAATGTCAAGGGAAGATTTTAAGCTCTAAAATGTTATCTCCAAACACTTAATAAGCTAGTGGAGACATCTGAAGCCTACATTTAAATCTCAATTGGAATCAAAATGCTAACAGAGCCCCGTAGCCATAAGGCCTGACTCTAGTTACATAGAAATAATTTATATATATATATATATATATATATATATATATATACATTGTTTTCTCTCTATATAATTGTTTTGGCTGCCTGTACATGTGCGCCATGCCTAATATATATACATATATATATATATAATTTTTTATTGTGAAAATACCGTATAGAGGGGTTACAATTACATGGGCAAGATAATGAGTACATTTCTTATCAAGCATCCCTCCTCCTTTGTTTCCCCCTTCCCATCCCTTCCCATTTCCCACCCCCCATATTATTTTTTTTTCTGTCAGTCATGGGGCTTGAACTTTGGGCCTGGGCGCTGTCCTTCAGCTCTTCAGCTCAAGGCAAGCGCTCTACCACTTGAGCCACAGCACCACTTCCGGTTTTCTGAGTTGTTTATTAGAGTTTCGTGAACTTTCCTGCCCAGGCTGGTTTTGAACCGTGATCCTTAGATCTCAGCCCCTTGAGTAGCTAGGATTACAGGCATGAGCCACCCGTGCCCGGATCTAATTTATATTTTTAAAGGGAAAAATAAACTTACAGTTTGGAACAAAATTGGGGAGCCACTCTTGATCTTGCCCATGGCACTGTTACAGTTTACCGAAAAGTAAAACAAAAGACAGAAATCTGCATATGTAGATATAGCTGTGGGCCCCTTTCTGGCATTAAGAGCTGTCTTTCTCCTGGTATCATAGGCCAAGGCTGTGGAAGCTACACATTTTCATTGCTGGCATGAGTATTTACTGTAGGGTCCTAATTCCTAGGTCCCCATTACAAAAGCATTAGGTAAAATATTAAGGATTGTTGATTTAACTAACATTTCTGGAGCACTATATAGCAGATAATAAGTAGGGATGCACAACAAAAGATGCTAGGCAGCCCAGGAACCAGTGGCTCCCATCTACAATCCTCACTATCCACAAGGCTGACATTTGAGGATCATGGTTAGAAGCCAGCCTGGGCAGGAAAGTCCCTGACATTCTTAGTTCCAATTAACCACCAAAAAGAAGCCAGAAGTAGAGCTGTGGCTCAAGTGGTAGAGAGCTTATCTTTGAGGAAAAAAAAAAAGGCTCAGGGTCAACTCCAGACCCTGAGTTCAAGGACCAGATGAAAGAAGATGCCAGGCAATCACAGCATATTGGTATAAGGTCTGTCCTTCCTCCCCCCTCTTCCTCCTCTCCCTCCCCCATCTTGGCTGTCTCCGCCTAGTACCTGTGTCACCTATGTAACTGGCACACCTGGAGGAAGTGAGGGCGGCAGGATGTGACCTGGGGAGGGGGAAGTGACTGCCTCCAGGTGTGCCAGTTACCTAGGTGACATAGGTACTAGGCGGAGACAGCCAAGAAGTGGAGAGGCCAGGGCCTGTATGGCCCTGGGCAGACCTTACAATTGGTATATTATATAATAACAGACTATGGGAAATGCTTTGAAAGCAGAAAGAAAATTAAAAATAAATAGTAAAATTAATAAAATAATAAAAATAAATAATAAAATTTCAAAAAATAATTTAAAAAAACGGAGGAAAATCTCAATACAAAGTCTTCCTTGTGGGGCTGGAAGGTGGCTCAGTGGTAGAGTGCTTGACTTGTATGCTCGAGGCCCTGGGTTCCATTCCTCAGCACCACATAAGCAAAAAGAAAAAAAAGCCGGAAGTGGCGCTGTGGCTCAAGTGGTAGAGCGCTAGCCTTGAGCTGAAGAGCTGAGG